CCCTTCTTCCTCCCCTCCCATCATAGGCTGTTCTGAAGGAATCCATGTGAGAAAATGGTTGATGGTCCTGAAAGTCGTTGCTACCTTACCCATGGTCGGTGAGCTGTACTCCTTCGAACGATTCGAGCTTTTCATCCATTATCCGAGAGTTATTAAATACCTCCCTGAACTGACTTGTTCTGACTATCTAACCTTTTTGTATTGATCCTAGCAGACCGTGAAAGAAACATCGTCTGCAATTTATAAATCGCCCTTTCAGGTATGTCAAGGAATGGCTGTCAGCGATGGCAGCTGGTGAAATTATCGAAGTCAACGAAGAAGAAAAATTCTGGATTCCAAAAGAGCATGTTGCGGTAAGTCGTGAAACTATTTAGTAGCCACTCGGCTCTACAAATCTTTTATTTTTCTATCGGTTCTATCTGGTCGCAAAAGAAAAAAAACTCAGTAGGTACTGGCTGTAATGATCGCAAATATACGAAATAGGGGAATCTGAAAACCATTTGAGGGTATGCCATATGAGGGTCTAGGCTAAAGCTTTCCAGTGGTAATCAATCCTTTTTGGGATACGCTCCATAGTCGACTTCCACTCACTTCCAATTGTAATGATGTTGTAAATGCGTATGTGGCCTATACATTGACATGCGCTGGCCTGCCGATGTACAAGTCAATGCTTTTATACTTGCAGACGAGTTTGTTACCACTTAATCGGCCCCGTGGGTATGGAAGGCTTGATTGGTTTAAGCGAATCGATCTGGGACTCCACCCTTGACCATGCGTGTGAGATAGTGCGCCTCTTGTCACTACACCATCTACAACATGAACAATAATGATAGAAGCCAAAATGGCCTCAATCAGAGCAACCCTGCCTAAAATGATACCGTGTCGCTCGTTTCTCCGGGCCGATCAAGAGGCTTTTTTGTATAACCTGGACGTGTGACAGCAACCCTTCGTATGTCGCCTTTTTTGGCCTTAGTTCACAGGTCAAGGCTTTCATTTAGCGACTAGTCCGAAAACTTCCCAGGTCAACTCCAGGTCACCCGAAGTCTCTTCTGAACACGCTATGTAGTTTTGCACACATTTTCAGGATCTGACTGTCGGCTTAGCGTTGCAGTTCAGCTTATTCCTCCCTCTTCTCCTCAAAAGCTACGACAATGTATGTAACGTATTCAGAAAGGATGGCCCACTCGGTAAGATCTTAATTTGTATTTGAATTCCTCCCAAGCACTAGGAAAAAGTGAATAGTAGAGTTCTCTATTCAGGGGAAACGTGCCAAACAAATATTCTTTGGTTTCAGAGGAAACCGTCATGAAAATAGGCACTTGGGTGCCAGCATTTCCCAAAGTACCACGTGGTGCCTCGTTATTGCGGGGTTCGAAAAAGCTCATGAAAGTTCTCATGTTCGTTCCGCTCGTGAAACCCTAATAAGCCCAGAAACTTGGTAATCCGGTGGTAGGAGAAGTGTTCTGTAGGCATTGACAGCTGCCGAATGCCTTCTACTCTAGTGAATACAGCCACAACATTGACTCAAGGCCAAAAAGGAAGCTACAAAAAGTGCTGTGACTCAGTGATAATGCTGGTAAGCCTGGGTGATCATAGTAGGTAGGAACTCGAGGGCTTTGGTGGTCCAATGAAGAATGGGCTACAGTTGAAGTCCCATCGAAGGCCGGACGTTCTGCTCCTCGACCTTGATCCCCCAAAGATTATATTTTGACCATTGCTTCACTGAATGGATTATTTTCAGGACTTAGCTATTCGGATTTCACTGGTTTCTACCAGACAATGTCATCATTGAGTGAGGCAATGCACAAAAGGCACCTTGTAAGCGACTTTCTACCTGCTCTGGGAGCAGACATCCCTGTAAGTTGCCAATAGTTACTGCATTTTTCATTCTATCAGTGGGCCGCTATTCCAGGAACGTCTGAAGGAAGGGGGAATGATGTGCTTGGATGTTGGGTGCGGAAACGGTTTCCATGCCGCACTTCTAGGTAAGAACTCTGTGATTTTTTTATCCTAACCTGGCCCAGTTTAGGTCTTTGAAAACGGAAAAAAATGTTCAGAAGCTATAGAAAAAATAAGGTTAATTTCTCAAAGTGGGCTGGGCTTGCGCTAAGGTGGGCGGAGCTAAGATCAAAAATCTATAACTCTGCTAAAAACATATAGGGTCTGGCTAGAGGTAATAAATTGTATGATCAAATTTCTGAACTGGGTGATAAATCTGCTTCGAAAAAAGTCTAAACACTGGGGATTCCGGCGAAAGTTAGGAGCAGATCAACAACACAGGCGAAGGAGATTCATCCGCGGTTGCCATGGGTTTCCGGAAACTTTGCATAAACTCATAACCTGTCACAGTCTATAGCCAGATTCTCGAGGGGGAGGGGGGCTCAGATTAGAAAATTCAACTCTTCGACGCGTCTTTGTTGTGATGCACGCGTTAGTGTGCGAAGCCTAACTGAGAAGTTTTTTAATTCAACGGTATATCTTTTAGCGCAAACCTTCCCGAAATCAAACTTCACCGGCATTGACATAACCCTGGAAGCCGTGCAGCAGGCGAATCAACGACGGTGAGGAACAAACTTGGTCTTGTTTAATAGAAATTATCTATTCCGTAGGCATGATAGCCGAGATACACACTAAGACACCCAGGAGTTAAGGAGGGGATTTCCACATCTGCACCAAAAAAAAAAGTGAAAACTGGGAAAACTCGACCCCCGAACCTGCTCTTCTTGTGAAATGCATGAGAAGAGCAGAACAGTGCGTTTTCGAAAAGATGTCTAATGATGTCCATCGCATTGAAAGAGATGCCACCGCTTTCTCCCTCTAGAGCACGCGTCTTTTTGTGGGTGGATTTTACTGTGAACGACGATACTCTACTTCCTAGAAAGTCTTGCACCATTCAAAGTTAATTCGTTGCGATATCTCCACATAACGGCTCTGCCGCTGAATAAATGTCTTCTCAGTGGATTATGGTATAGTGATGGGTCACAGCCGACTGGACCAGAACCCACACAAACGTGCGATTTCCTATCCTACAAATTCCCAAAAATTCAGAAAGGATGACGGTTCAACATTTGACAATTTGGCCTTCATACAAATGAATGGTGGCGAGATGGCCGCTGACTGGACCAACAAATACGACGTAGTGACGATCTTCGACGCTTGTCACGATCAGATGAGACCTGACTTGGTGAGTTGATGGGTGAGATTCTTATTGTTTCTAGCAAATTCAAGCACCGAAAATCCTCTTTATACTTGCTTTCCAAAGAAAATGCTGCCAATTCCGACCCTAATGGTGTCGAAAGTACTTCTGTTTCAGTGCCTCAAAGAGATCTTCCGGGTTCTCAAACCAGGAGGTGTTTTTGGAATGCTGGAGGTAAGAAGTTCATTTCAATTACGGTGTCTGCCAGTATGAAATGAAGAATGTTGTAGGTAAAAGCGTCGTCAAATGTATACACCGACCGAAAGGAAATGGGAGAACTTGCTTCTCATTTGTACGGCGTTTCATTGCTTCATTGCCTGCCAGTAGGCAGTAACTCACCAGGTAGAATATACGAAGTATACGAACGAAATCTTTACACAGCTACTTGTAAGAGAGCTGATTGATTTAGTGAAGGGGTGGTAGGCGTGGCTTTTGAGGGGGGCGGAACATCCTGATGAGGAAATTGTGGCTGACCAGTCATCGGTCACAAGGCATGCGTTCACATCTATCGTAGTATGATGATGATTGAAAACGAACACATTTGGATTTGTCTGGCTGCTTTCAGACCTCAACGAATCATCCGTCCGTCCGTCCGTCCGTCCATCCGTTCAGCGCGTGCTGCGACGGCGGCGACTGACCGTTGTTGACAACACTGGATCACGTTCCACCGCTGTCAACACTACTCTAGCGACCACCGTTGCAGCACGCGCTGAACGGACGGACGGACGGACGGAGGGTCGTCGAACTCTGAAAGTAGCCTCTCTCAGGCTGGTACCTAATGAGAAACTGTTCCAGATGCCCTCGGACTTGGGACTATGTGGGGAAAAGAAAAAGCTAAGAAGTCACTCATGCAAGCCGGTTTCACCAATGTCAACATTGTTCCCACACCAATGTTTCCTTTCAATGATTTATATGTATGTAAAAAAGAATGAGTTGTTGTTCCATCATATAGCCAATTTGAACTGCCAGTCCGATGGTGTTGTTTTACAATGTCGTAGCCCTCATTGAAAATCTCTCTAATGTTTCAAAATTCGTACTTCCAGGAAGAACTTTACGAAAACTTCTCGAAAGACTCAATTTTCAAATCTGGAAAATGGGGAACGGAAATCAGGGAAGCTGGGAAGGTGCCTGGAGGCAGAGCTCACTATCATCCTGGGCTATCTATTATAGTTCAGGAAGAATAATAGAAATGGTACTTCAGAGTAGTGCAAAAGTGATGAAGAGAACGCGAAAATCGGCGTGTCCAGAGAACTAATTTGAGGCTTCGAAGCAGTAGTAAAACTAGGGTTTGGACGGGAATGTAACAATAAGAGTTGCATTAAAGGATGGAAGAGGTATCTGGACGAGTTGTCCAAGTGTGTGTGCTATTCCTAGAGCTGAGCTCGCTACAAAAAGCTTCCTGCGTGTGTGTATCCGTTCAAATGGTGCAACAACCCCCATAGCCCCTACAACGCCGCCAGAACTCGTACGTTTTTGGGTGTGTCCGTCAACTAGGCTTGTTTTTGGCCCCATAATACGTCCTACCTAGATAAATTTTTCGACACGATAGCGTCTCTTTTGCTATCCCTGGGGGTCACGGGTTCACCCTAGGAAGAATTTCATGAGCTACTTGCACCGTTAACTGCGACCTTTGATTTTGGAAAATGCAGCAGCCTTTTTTGATCAGAAAAATTGCCCTTGCAGCGCTTCCAGACCCAGGTTTTATAGCTTTACTTCAAATCCATTGGCAGTTGATTCAAACTTAATGCAGCTAGTCAAAACATTTTAGGATCTAATACCTGAGCTACCTCAGTAGAGGAATCTCGAATAGAAATAGTGGTTTATCCAGAGTACCCCAAAACGATGAGGTGTGATTTGCCAGAGTCTGTGAAACAGTCAGTTATAATTTCTGAATCTAGTTGTAGCAATGAGCTTCATCAGACACAGATAACGAAAGGCATCAAAGCACATCTTCAAATCGACATCGATTCAGATGATGGTTCACGTGAAAAGTATTCATTGCTCTTTCTGAGAATCCTCAAAAAATTCTGACTGGACAGACCTGGGAACTGGCTTTTGGGAGATCTTGTTTTACGATTGACCCTACTCATAAGATTGAACATTGCCTTGTACCCTAGGAGTAGCCTTAATCATAACAGAAGATCAACCCCTATCTTCAGTGAATCAACAGTGTTCACCTTGTTCATTAGTATAACAATTGTATCCCTATAACTTTTATGCAATCTATTTTTTCATGAAATTTTGGAGTGGTTACTCAGAAAATCTTACAACTACGGATGAGAATCTTCCCACTTCTGCTCGTTGGGTACTGATGAAAAAGTGTTTGAAGTTCCATGAATAGACTTTTTAGAGTTTTTTTTCGAGGTGCTATTGCTTATAGTCGATCTAGTAATTGTTCACGACGAAAGATAGTGGCTCTCCATAAAGGTGAAAAAATTGTATCTTTCGTTTTTTACATTTTTTATCACGCGTTGTTACGTTTTTCCCAACCTGTTCTCACCATAGATAATGAAGCGGTTCTGGTGGGAGTTGTAGAATTCTCCCGTTCACTGTCATTCCATTTGCCCTTCGATCTCGCCCTCGCTATCCTTTAACAAATATGCCCTTGTGCTGACTATATAGCACTCTTATAAATCTTTTCGGGATAGACGCCCTTCATATCTCCTAGGAGCACGACAATTTAACAAACAGACCGCTGACTGAACGAGATCACCAAGTATTGGAGCCAGGCCAGGGGGCGTTTTTGGTATGTTACAGGAAAGTATCTTAATCCCTCTTTCTCATTATTATAGATTCCACTCAGAGGTATGTCAAAAACGTTAACATTTAGTTTGACTGATTTTTTTAGAAGGTCATGAAATCATAAAGCCTTCTGTTGCAATCCCGTTTTTGCACGTTGCGCCGTGCACGCAACTTTCTTTCGCAACTGAACTGTCGATTCTAAAAAATGTGGCATTTACAATGACCTGCACTGGCCAGCCGACCTATAAGTCAATGCTTTTATCCTCCAAGACGAGTCTTTTACCAATTAATCGACTCCAGAAGGATCAAATGCGTGGTTGGCCCGGGCAAGTATCGATGCAGAATCCAATCCCAAAACCGTGCATATGTGATGGTAAGCCTTTTGCCAGTGCACCACTCCCACCCTGTCAAAGAAATGTACATTTTTTGATTGAAACGAATTGGAATATTGCTCGAAACTGACTGCTTTTTGCATTTGTAACAGATTTCCAATCGATTTGTGGGCTTCTGCAACAATGGTTGAGCGATATTATATGCAAATGATGGCATTTGGTGTATGATTATCAATCTGTTTTGATTACAGTAGTCGAACAGAAATCGTATGTTTCTGTTTTCAAAGTGCATACCGATTTGCTGCAAACACGTTCGTATGATTGTGCTTTCCCATCACATGACTAGTTTTTCCTAGTAATATTGCATGATGATGAACGAAAACATCTCCAACCTTCATTGTCTCCCCAAAATTTTGCACTTTCAGGCTCTCAGCTGTGTATTACTGTCTGACCGTTACAGCTTAACGGCAGTTCATCCTTTCAGGTCATTGTAGGTGTGATTTGGCTCACAGAATATGTAGTTGGATGAATGGTTGTGAAGTTAGTTTGCACTGAGCGAAATTTGGTCCAGGCTATGCCTGTCTGGGCCAAATTCAAGCCTTCTACACCTATTTCCACCCAATAATTGGTGATGTTTTCAGAAGTTTTCAAATGCTTTACTTAGCTTACGAGATTTCTCGAAGTAGAGTACCGATCAAGTAATCCTCTCCTGTCTTTCTGCCAAAGGGAACAGTGCCGCATGAGAGGTTTGCCGTCGAAGAACCTACAAAGTCCGAACTACAGCTCGCCCTCCCCTTTTTTCTTTCATGTTTGGCTTTGGTTCATGCCAATAATGGACCGAATCGTTGATAGCCATTTCAAAAGGCTTTATGGCTTATAACACCGCCTATACTAGGGTCTAGGCTGTAGCCTGGGACTAGGCCTATGCTTCGAATAGGTGAAATTTATGGNGAATACCAGCCTGCGATTCCTCTATAACTGCTGCCCAGAACATGAGGTGCCTGATGAAATGGGAGTTTCAAGGTTGGTTTTTTAAGCTGTTTCTCAGAACAGATGCACATTTCAATCTCTCTAGGAACTCGACCCCGTGGCGTACCCTCCTGTATTATTACCAGTTTTAAGGATGAAAGTCAACAAACTTTAACAATCAACATTTACAAACTCTTATATCGTTTTAGTAATCTCCGGTTTCCTATCTTGCAACCCTGCTGATCCATATTCTTTACAACAATGAAGGTTTTCCACTGAGTGGCCATCCCTGGGACCGCTTTTGATGGTTTTATTACAACCTACACCTCCAATCATATTCCTTTCATGCAGGTGATTCCCAGATGAATTGCCGAAAATATGACTACCGCACCGTACTTCATCGTAGACCTCACTCATCGAGAACTAGTTTACAGCAATATTATGCATTATGTTTGGTACTTACTTCTGTAATCCGTGACTGTGGCTGACCCCACCCATCCTGATTACCATAAGTCATGACCCATCGATGGAGCACTTCTGGACATGTAAATATAACCATTCATAGCCGTATTGGGTTGTCACCGGGCGCAGAGTACTTGTTATGGTCGACCTATGTAACCTTTGATTGAGTTGAGGGGCGGTTCCGTCGAGAACTGTTCGTTGGTTTCGATCTTTGCTTAGTTCATTCATGTCTTCATTGAATTCCGCAGTCATCGATTTTCCGTCTAGCCTACTACAATTTCTTTTTAATTTTCTGTAGTTTAGAAGTAACGGAATTCAGTTCCAGCGAAAGAACAATGGCAGAACAAAGCGACTTCCAGAAGCGATTAATGGTGAGTTGGCAGTTTTCTCGTTTTAGCCTTGGTCTTTGAACGGCTGCAGTTCAATCGATGCCATTCGCATGCTGGGAATGGAATAAGGTTCAGTCCCGATTCAATCGATGCTTGATGTTATAACATCTATTAGGGACCTCAAATAGTGAAGTTTTTTGGGAAGGGACAGTAGCGGTGGGAAGTGGTACTGGTGTCGTACACAAGAACTCTACTCTAGACAACCGAGTCCATACCCCACCCAGAGCCTGCCGTCGTAGAACAGCCTGAGGAGTGAACCACTTATAAACCCAGCAGCTGAAGAATAGTGGTCTAGCGGCACATAAGTGTACCGAATGCACTATCTGGCGGCATTCAAGCTCCGCTACGACTTCGACTAGAAGATGATTGCGTGGCGCAGCTCAGAGAAGATGAAGTTCTAAGCGAATAATTGGAAGATAAAGCAGATTGTGGAGCGTTAAGTAGGAGAGGAACGCTTAGATTCTTCTTTTGACAAGCAAGGTTTTGATTGTAGCCAAAACAGGTCGGTCAAGTCTCGACAAAGTGGAGTGACAAAAAAGGCAGTGGTAGGGTAAAGAAGGCAGGCAGTGTTTCCAAGAGGAATGATCCAGACGGGACATTGGGCTGTCTTGAGATGCGCGAAGCATTCGATTTACATGATTTTTTCGGTGCTATCCCATGTTACATTTATGGGAACAGTCTCCAACAGTTCGAAAAATCAATTGGTGGGGTTGCCTCTCATCAGGAAAAGCGCTACGGAGCAACAAACAGACGAGCTACCGCCCAGTAAATTTGGGAAGAAGGAACTCCTTTCAAAGAATCAAGCAATCACTTTGGTCTACACATCTGTTACCAGATCTCTGGGCTTTATTGCCTACTTAGACTTCTTTAAGTGTAGAATTGGAAGTTGACAGATTTCCTAGGCGGCTATATTTGCGGAAAGCGTTCGCCTTGAGTTTGTTGACCTTTCCCGATTTTCTGTAAACATCAGCAACGTGCCTTTTTTGCAGGAATATGCAATTATTTAGAAAGTATTCGAAAAATGAATATTCGTTTGCAGATTCACAACTGGATCCGTCATTTGAAACCGGTTTATCATTACTTTTTCTAGCAAATTGGTATTCATGGAACTATAGCATCCACGATCGCATTAGGCCATGAACTACACCTTTTCGAAGCGTTGGCCAAGGTCGGTAGTGAGGAAAATCCAGCCACACCAAAACAGGTAGCCGAAGAAAGTGGATGTAAAGAAAGGTACGCAATCATTAGTAGTCTTCACTATGAAACTGAGGATGAAGTAAAAATTCCAAAACTATCTTGAGTCAAACTCAAAGACTAATAGAACTGGGAACAGAACTTGCCAATTCCTGGGATGAAGTCTTCGGGTGAATCTGAAGGCATGGCAGTAGTTTTTGATTGGAATTCCTTTTTTTAGACGCTTCATGAGCTCAAAATATTGTGGAGCTTGTAGGATGCCGTCCCGGTCGTTTGACAAATAAAAGTGAGCGAATGAGATTGAGATGATAGAAATTTTTGAGATGCCCATTTTCATCCATCGTACACTGTAAATTAGTTTTGAAAGAATTTATGAGAACTTATGAAAAAAACGACAATGGAACAAATATATTAGAAGCGCTGTTACCACGCGATATTGTGGTCATTGGATGAGACCCCTTCAGCAATTAGGGCATTCCATAACTTTCCTGGAAAAATCGTCCTAGGCTCACTAACTAAACTTCTTTCTTCATGTAAAAGCTAGGCAGCCCGTTATACCGTAAAAGGAACCTTAGAAAATGGTGAATCACATCAACTCCATGAAATCACTTATTTCAGATACGTTAAGGAATGGCTGTCAGCGATGGCAGCTGGTGAAATCATCGAAGTCAACGAAGAAGAAAAATTCTGGATTCCAAAAGAAAATGTTGAGGTAGGTTGTGGAACTATTTAGTACTCGCTCGACTGAACATTTTTTTTTGGAATTTTTATCATATCACAAAGCAAAAATTTGATAACAAAATGGAACGTATATTGGCCACAAAGTAAATAAAAAAGAAGAAAGAAGTACTGAAGACTGCGTCGTGGCATGATATATGAAAGATAACGGCTTAAGTCTCCTGCGTCGATCAGGCCTTTTTGGGATGCCCTCCACATTCGGCTTCAACTCAAAATTGTAATTGCTTTGTCAACGGATCTATGGCCCACACAATGACCAGAGATGGCCGCCCGTTGTATAGTCCATGTACCGAACCCGAAAGCCTAGTCGGCTTAATCGAGTACCCATGCAGGGTTCGATCTCGCAACCATACTTGTGCGATAATGCGCCACTAAGCAGCACACCATCACTGTCGAACCTGACTTATAAAAATAATAATCCAAGCCAAAACAATCTAAATGCCTCTGTTTAGCATGGTATTGGGTCACTTATTTTTCCAACCCGGTCCATTGGATTTTTTTTTGGTATTACCTGTACGTTGAAAGCAAACCTTCGTATCTGACCTTACTTTGACCTTGCTCACTGGTCATTAAGAATTGTTCAAACCAGCTTTCAAGTGTTTATGTTCCACACTCAATGACACCTACCGAAATCTGCGAATACTTGCTGGGGTCAATTTTAGGCTACTCGAACTTTCCGTAAAAGTCAACAGTTGGAGGGAGCATTTGGAGGACAGATGGAGTAATGGGTAACGGAACTTCTCCCCTATCGCGGCATTCTCCTTGCGGTATGCGGCAAATGTCTCTGCAACTACCGTACTCGACCCGCCTCCCGCCAATCGATAGGACGCGATATTTTTCGTTGATTGCCTTGCTTTTTTATCGGATTTGATCGTTTTTTCTTCTATTACTTTTTCGTTTCCATGTTTATTAGACTTGATTAATTAAAATGACTTCTCCTATGTAAGCGGCGATCAAGACCGCATTGGAATTGAAGAGAGCGGCCAGCCANCCTACTTCACAAATTTCGCGCTCCAATCTTCCATCGCAATCCTGCGGTACGCGGCGGGTGCGGCGTGTGCGACGCCGTGTCAAGGGAGAAGTTCCCGGACCCATGGAGTAATTGCCCTCTGTAGGTACCTATGACCTATAGGACGTGATTATACAGACATGTTTCGGGGATGATTTTGTACAACCACTTCTTTAGAACGGAATGTCAAAGCAGCCAAGGCTTCCCTTTTCATGGATCAAACTCACGTCTGCCTGATCAGGAAATCTTCGCGAAAGTTGAATAATAACTCAGTTCGAAAGTTCATCTATGGTGCTCCCTTTAGAATTGCGAAGCAAATTGTATTTGCCTAGAACTCTCTGCGCTAGCCTGAGCTAAGCGATAGGCGATGATGTAATTCAAGGTGGTGAACTAGCCCACACGTAGTCCTGGAATCGAGCGATGATCGATACTCGCCCAGGCTAGCCAAGCCTTCCAGCCATCCAAGGCCCCTACGACTACCACTACGACTTGCCTGGGAGAGTAAAAGCACCAACTTGTACATTGGCTGGTCACTATAGTCATTGTATTGGTCATACAATTCTCATTGAAAGTTGGATGCACGGCGCATCCTATAATGGGATCGATCAATGGATTAACTGTGTTTCCAGGATCTGACATCTGGCCTAGCACTGCAATTCAGCCTATTTCTCCCAGTTCTCCTCAAAAGTTACGACAATCTATGCAATGTATTCAGAAAGGATGGCCCACTCGGTAAGAGTTTGTGATGCATTTGAATTTCTTCCGAACACCAAAAAAAAATGAGCACGAGTTCCAGTTTTGTCGTGGCCAAACGTTTTGTCCTCTTCTGTCCACCAAAGATTATCCTGAGATGCTCCATTGAAAGGATTAGTTTTTAGGGCTGAAATACTCGGATTTTACTGGTTTCTACCAGATCATGTCATCGTTCAGCGAGGCAATGCACAGAAAGCATCTTGTGAGCGACTTCCTGCCGGTTCTTGGAGCAGATCTTCCTGTAAGTTGCTATTGGTTGAAGAGTATAGTTCCTAGTAGTAAGATTCCCCGCTAATTTCAGGAACGCCTAAAAGACGGAGGAATGATGTGCCTGGATGTCGGGTGTGGGAACGGTTTCCACGCGGCCCTTCTGGGTAAGGTTTTGAGATTATAGACAAACCTTATCTAATTCAAAGTCAATGAAGTCCTTCTTTTTGATAAGTCGCTATTAGGGGTGGTGGTAACATACGCAGTGAGGCGTTATTAGGCCCAGTTCTGATAACAAGGGTAATGCTATTGGGTTGTAACATAAGTTCGTAGAGTTTTGCGTTAGAGTATTTTACAACGATTTATTTTGTTTTTCAGCAAAGTGTATACATTCATTCGAAAGAGCTCTTTCTCCTCTACAAAACTGTTTTATTCGTTTTCAGGATAATTTAATTTTTCGTCTTTTTTCGGGCTCAGAAATGCAATATCCATTAAGAAAAAATCTGCATTTTCGACATCTGCTTTTCTTTGCTTTTCGTCGGGGTCAAAAAAGCAGCCGAAACCGCTCGGGACATATGCAGTGTGTACGGGGAAGGTGTCTTAGGTGTGTCTACTGAAAGGTGTGGGTGGCCCCAGGGAAGGCGCCAAGGCCAAGAGTCAAGCAAGATCTTCACCCAAAAAAAGGTCATGATCTGCGTTTGGTGGGACTGGGTAGGCATGGTGCACTGGGAAACTGCTCGGACGAAGCGCCACTGTCAACAAGGAGGTCTACATTGCCCAGCTGAACAGTGTAAAAGAGGCTATTCGGCTTAAAAGACCTTATAGACGAGGTCAAGTCATCTTGCTCCACGACAACACCAGACCCTATATTGCTCAAGTCGACAAAACAGCACTTCAAGAGCTTGAATGGGGGGTTCTTCAGCATCCATCGCACTCTCCGGATCTTGCACCTGCCGACTATCACCTTTTCCGCTCTATGATAAACCAAATGAGGGGTGTTACCTTCGATGGCGAAGGGGATCTTAAAAACTGGCCCAACAAATTCTTCGACACCACAACGGCCGATTTTTGGCGAATCGCCATCAACAAATTGGTCGAGAGATGGGAGGAGGTCGTGAACAGTAACGGAGGATACATCATTGGTTAATTTATTATTATAATTATTGTTTTTTCGTTCAAATAAATCTTTGTGAAAAAACTCTACGAACTTATGTTACAACCCAATAATTAAAGGCTCAAGCAATTTGTCGTGATCCATAGCGACATTAAAAGGCAGTTCTTCACAGATCTGGCTTGATGTCAACTCTTTGCGCAATTGCAACAACTGAAATCTCGTCCAAATATCCCTTCCATGTTATTTCCATCACAGTAATCTTGTTCCACCTTTATTTTCCCTACTTTCTAAAAGCCTTATTCTTCTCGAAATTAGCGAATTTCCTCGCTTCCTTCACGATTCCCAACCTATACTTCCACTTTCTGAATAAAAAGGAGAACCTGATTTGTGATTATGGTGAAGTGTCCCTTTAATTGTTATGTTTGTTCAGCGGAAACCTTCCCGAAGTCGAACTTTACCGGCATCGACATCACCTTGGAAGCAGTGCATCAAGCAAATCAACGAAGGTTAGAAAGAATTAAATTGATCTATCTAGATTAAATTTATTCTGGAGGTTTCTCCCGTCATAGCCCAGATATATCCTCTGGTGCTTACATCTCAAAATGGGAATTTGAAAAGGGCTGCTGAGAAGGAAAAATCTGGAAAAACTTCCAAAACTCTTGAACTTGTGTCCTCAAAACTGCTTTCCTTATAAAATGCATGATAGATGTAGGTAATTATGTTTTCAGAAAGGAATGTATAGTGTTGTTCCGTGAGAGTACACATCCAATTTTGGGAGGGATTTCCTGTTGAGGGGTAATACGCTACTTTTCAAAACATATTGCCCTGCTCACAGGGTATTTTGTCCCAACATCTCAGATTTACAGCTGCCTACGTGCCATCCCAGTAGGTCCTTATCAAGATAATGCGCTTCGATGAGTCCGAACAAAAGTACCCCTTTTCTACCCCTCAAATTCTGAAATATTCAGAAAGGATGACGGTCTAACGTTCGACAATTTGGCCTTTATACAAATGAATGCTGGCGAGATGGACGCTGACTGGACAAACAAATTCGACGTAGTGACGATCTTTGACGCTTGCCACGATCAAATGAGACCTGACTTGGTGAGTTGCTGGCTGAGCTTCACGGGGTTTTTACTAAATCCAACCATCGAAGATCCCCTTTATACTTGTTATCCGAAGAAGGAAAGGTGATGAAAGTGTCAAAACTAAATACTTCTGTTTCAGTGTCTCAAGGAGATCTACCGAGTTCTAAAACCAGGAGGTATTTTTGGAATGTTGGAGGTAAGAAAGCTCTTCCATCCTCGAATCCGCCTGTGTGTCATGGGAATTGTTGTAGATAAAAGGATCGTCAAACGTGTACACCGACCGAAAGGAGATTGGAGAGCTTGCTGCACATATGTACGGTTGTTCAGTACTCCATTGCCTTCCAGTAGGCAGTAATTCACCAGGTAAGAATATATGAGCAAACATATCGGGAGCGAAAAAAATGTCTATCGTGACGGCACCTTTACGCTTATGGTATTACACTAAAAATAACTGAAAATCCTTTACGGTTATGTTTGGGATAAGCTATGATGCCGATCTTAGAGGGATTCCAAGACTCCCGACAGCCTACTATTAGGGCAATCTCCCAGTAACACGGAGATTACGCCATGTTGCAACAGCGCTTTGATAAAAACTAATTTTATCAATTCCTCAGCATCGATAGCTAGCCGTCAAGTGTTTACCAAGTTGTGTGAAGTGTACTATTATCCAGTTATTTCCATAAAGGGGGGGGGGCTATCAAGGAGAGAGTGGTTAGTCAGTGTCATTGTTGAGACTGCCTGTTGTCCTGGCTTCATTGAAGACTTGAAATGACTGTCCGAAAAACGAAGTGTAGTCTACATGGGACGACTATACCAAGTCATCCTTTCTAGCCCAGTTGTTTTGAGGGCTTTATGGAAATAGCTAGAAAGGTACATCAAATTATAGTATATATTCACTGAACCACCTAAACCGACCAGCTGAACCTCTATGCTAGTACTATCTAGAAAAGCTGAATGAGTCAGTAGGTGGTGGGCGTGGCTTTTGAGATGGGTGGAATATCCTGCTGAGGGAAACTGTGAATGATCACTCCTTGACTCCAAGGCGTGCGTACCCACATCTCATTCGCTGAAAAAAGGAGTAGTTCACTATCCCACTGCACCTCATTGTAAAGTTCGGCGTTGTATATGAAATTACAATGTGAAAGCTAAGCCATAATTAATTTTTCGGCTTCTCGTACGGTAGCAGCTGGTCTGGTCCTAGTTTCACCTTCTTACTCTGCTAGCTATTACTGCTGCTTCTTTGACTCTGAATTTCGCACTCTTACATTGGCATATATAGAAACTAATTCAGATGCTCTCGGACTTGGAACGATGTGGGGAAAAGAAAGGGCCAAGAATTTACTCAGGCAAGCTGGCTTCACGAATATCAACATCGTTCCCACAACGATTTTCCCTGTTAATGACTTCTATGTATGTAAGAAAGAATGATGTTGTTGTACCATCATATAGCCAATATGAACTACGAATCAAATGATGATGATTTATTATGTCGTATTTGTTATTGTAGTATTCTCTGATGTTTTGAAATTTGTACCTAATGAAAAATCTACAGAAGATTCTCGAATGACTCAATTTTTAAGACTCTGAAGCGCTGAAAGGGAAAGTGATTAAGTTCTTTGTACTAGAAAAATTGCATTCATCAAGTTTCATACTCTGTTTTTATAGCTTTATTTGCCAGGTAGTTCGAACTGTTGGATGAACATCTACAAATGTACAGCTTACGAAATTTGAGGCACCCTTTGACAATTGAAAAGCGGAAGCGTTCAGTGAGGAATGGCTGCTTTCATAGTCCGCAGGCCGGCCGGCGTGCCACGAGGCAGTGCTAGGGGGAAGAGGGCGGCAGGCGGTTGGTCAGCCCCTCGGGTAACGGAACTTCTCCCCTATCGCGGCATACTCCCTTGCGGCATGCGGCGAATGTCACTTCAACTACCGTACTCACCCCTCCTCCCCGCCAATCGCTAGGACGTGATATTTTTCGTTGATTGCCTTGCTTTTTTATTGGATTTGATCGTTTTTTCTTCTGTTTCTTTTTCGTTTTCATGTTTATTAGACTTGATTACTTAAAATGGCTCCTATGTAAGCGGCGATCAAGACTGCATTGAAATTGAAGAAAGCGGTCAGCCAATTTAAATAATTAAAGGACTTCCCACCTCACAAATTGCGCGCTCCAATCT